CAAGAATATCAGGGTTTTCAAAAAAGTAAGCTCAAATGCATTTTATTTATTTACTGAAATACTCCTTTAACCTAAAATGTGACTTAAAAGATTTGTTTTCTGCTATTCTTTTAAATTGCTCTGGGCGTCCTCAACAGGCCCAGCTGTTAAATTCAGGAGTAATGACAACAAATCCCTGGGCAAACAACCGCTGCTAGCAAGCCTCATTCTTTAGAATAATCAGAGAGAGCTGACAAAAGGGGGCCACACAAATGCTCTTTTGAAATTCCAATAAGAAGCTGGACAGAATAAAATAAATAAACACGCTTATACACATCTTAAAGGAAATTACAATTCTACTTCGTGGCTCCGACTGTGTTAAAAATTTAAAATCCAACCACTCTGAAAAACAGCGGATAGTGTTACCAGTCTCTAAAGATGAGAAATGATACTCACTAATCAACCGCAGAGTGGGAAAAATTGGTTCCATTATTTGGAGATGATCGGCACCTGATAAACCCTGTCAGCAGAGACTCTTGAGGACCGGTGTCATTTTATAATAAGCCTGTAGCACTATGTATGCTGCTGTTACTACCTTGACTTCACGCAGACAGTTTTAAGACAGTCACTTGTAGGTTACATGTGTGCTTTTGAACCACATTTCCTCTTTTTAAAGGTGTTTTTTCTTGGACCCCAGAAAGCATCAACTGAACCTTACCAGGTTGGCGGATTGGTCTCTCTCTGTATCTCAGTTCTGTCTTATTTTTCCAAAACCAAACAACTTTTACTTGTGTGTTAGCACCTGAGTTAGGGCGGGTAACTGGTAGCACCCAAGTGAAGTTTGATTTGATGTGAACATGCACACAGGCAAGAGACCCTGTCCTTCACAGCATCTACACATCTCGACCAGCCAGTGACAACACAGCCATATCAGTCCATCCCAGGATCATTAGTAAAATCAAAATCCAGGCTAACAGTCGCACAGTTCTTATCTCTTTACAATATATCACTTCTCTTTTCAACATACCACCCCCCCCCCTTTTTAAAACATGACCCTTTAAAATGTCTTCAATATATTTTAACTTCACATTTCAAGATCCACTTTGGGCTGTAATTTATCATTACTCTTTAAGACAGAAACCACCCACAGGACAGGTTTTTCATTAATTCCACAAAAGAAATCTCAAATTCCATCTCAATTTATATCGAAGTGATAAACACTTTACTCATGAAAAGCAACCTACGTCCTTTTAAAGGAAATGCCTATTGCTACTTAAAGTTATAGACACATACCCCTAAACAACTTTACTGATGCCAAAATTAACATCAAAGATTTGAAACAGATCAACCATAAAGTTACAAGAATTCTTATGCTCTTCCAGCTACAAATCCTCACTTACAAAATTGTTTTTCACCCAAGCAGTCCTGAAAAGCCTAAGACATGTAAGTCAGCTTTATGTTCTCTCTCCTTCTATCCTACGGCTTCAATTTCCACCTTTTATGGAAAGGAAATAAACAACCCGCTTCCTGTTCACTCACGAGCTTACAGCCAGTCTTTACACATCACAGAACACAGTCCTCCGCCTCCTTTACTTCTCTCCAAAGTCGCTTATCTTAATTTAAACTTGTTGAAATATGAGACCGTTTTACCACACTAATGCTTTCCTATAAAATTTATCTTATTTCAACATTAAGAATGCAAGAAACGTCAAGACGGCCACAGATAATTTCTTACTCCTAAAACCTTTAATTATTTATATGATGACGACTTAGGACCCATGAAAGTGAAAACTCAAGTTTGCCAAAATCTAAAAATATTGAAATTTATAGGCCACGGTTTAATCTTTCTGTTCTTAGATGGGGCCTCCCACATCACTCCCCTTTCTGTGCTAATTACAGGAAAATATAAAGCCACTATCGACAATAAGGCCTGGCTTTTTTAAAAGCTAAATATTACTTTAACCCTCTACTTTCCTTTAAAAATGGGGTGCCTTAGAAAAACTAAGTTAGACGAATTCTTTTGTGCTTGGATGAACAACAGGAAAGCAAAGCCTTCAGGCCTTTGGGGAGAGCCCTGTCCCTGCAGCCCCACTCTGATGTGCTTGGGAGATAAGGCTCCATAGTGACACTTAAGGCCAGGCCTGTTCACATTTGAATTTCTGCATTCCTCAAGAACAATTCATGGCAATAACTAACTTCACAGAAGAGCTACATGAAAGCTCTGGTCAATGAATGAGGGTCATCTGCTCTTTATCACAAGGGTAAACCTCATCCTGGCCGGTTTCCAACCTTTTAACCCTGGGATTCCTAATTTACACATGAATAATGGAATTCTTGCCTAGAGTGCAACTTTCAGCTTCTAGTTCCTGAGTTTAGAAACCGAGGCTTGACTGCCTGTGTGTTAAAAATCTAAAGCTTGCACAGATTAAAGTTTTGGGTTCCTGGGTGCTGTACCACCACGCTTCTGAACCAAAAGATACGCTTTGCTGACAAAAGCTTTGATCAAGAAAATAAAAGAACACAGTTGCACTCTGCTACTGTCAATAACTAGGAAAGAACTAGCTTAAAACAAAAAGTCCACTTAATGCCTATTCTCGTCCTGTTTAATATGCATAACAACATCTTCGCCCTAAACACAGGATAAAGTCATTGGAGCCTGTATTACCTGATACGGCTTCAGAGATAGGAAAACTAATTTTGTGAGTTCAGAACCTCGAAGAAACTCAAGTTTCTAAAGAAAAAAATCTAAATAAGAAAACAACTATGAATTTCTTAGTTTAAATCCCTAATACTGAATCCAATTTCCTAGTAAAATACCCCCTCAGAGTTAAACGGAAACGGAACGTGCATGTGAAGACTATGGACCCTATTAAGTGAGCAGAGCTGTTCTATACAAGCAGTGATGTACGCAGTTCCACCAGCAAGATTTTAATACTTCAGAAAACTGCTTCAGCTCAACAGCCTTCAAGATGATTAACAGCTAATGAAAGATGTATTGTCAATAATAACTGTATAAAGACACTAAAACAAAACACAACCCAGTACTAACATTTGTTTCTTACACCTCTCGCGCACTGTTTCGACTTTATTTCTGAAGTCAGAAAGCTCTGGGTGTTTTCAAGTGTTCGTGGGAACCCTAGAATTCTCTCAGGCTGCTCTGGAGGTCCTGGAAATAAAGTGTGGTCCTGACAAACGCTTCAACTTTTCAAG